GTGCCATTATTGCGAAGACCTTACGGCCGGTGCCGCCGACCCAGAAGGACGACGACGACGACGACGACGACGACGACGACGACGACGACGACGACGACGACATCGACAACGACCACGACGACTACGACAATGACGAGCTGATCATTCTGCCACAGGCTTGGGACATGGGGCGGGCGGTAGAAAGAGGAGGAGGAGTAGGAGGAGGGGGAGGATCAGGAGGAGGAGGAGGAGAAGGAGGAGCAGTAGAAGGAGGAGCAGGATGAGGAGGAGGAGGAGGAGGAGGAGGAGGAGGAGGAGGAGGAGGAGGAGAGCCGTCTGTCTCCTCGGGTGCGGGCGTCTGGGAGCGAAAACCAAAGTGGAAAGCCCCCCAGCGGGGGCGGGGTCACAACCCTGGGACGCCATCGACGTAATTACGACACTGTTCGATCCCCCTTGTTTGTTCGATCCCACTTTCGACGACGATGACGATACAAAGGAGGCTGGCGTATGCCAGTTTGGGTCAGGCTGACCTCGCGTCGAAGGGACTCAAACACGCCGACTGGGTCGGCGGATTTCAGTGCGCAACCCTACAGAGGTTCCGACCGCTTCCCTGGGGGGAGTGTTTCGTGTCGGACCCGCTATTGGTTCCCCCCAGGCCCAGTAACGCGCCCCAGAGCCCGAGATCGAGGAAACACGCAGCCGTTGAACAAACGTATCGTCGTAGATTCGAGTGTTTTTCCCGCCATAGTTAGGTCATCTGGGGGCCGTCCGGGACGACCCCCCGGGACTTGGCATCGCTCGGACGTGTGCATCTTTTCCTTCCATCGAGGAGCATCCTTGATCATTTGGGGAGAAAAACCACGCACGAAACCGAAAAACACATAGGGAATGGACGTCCGAGCGATGGCCAGGGCACGCTCTCGGCGAGGCGCGGCTGCTGGGAAGCGTCCCGATGCGGCAAGACCTCCAGGCGCCAGCGAGAGCCTCTCCGAGAGCATGCGGAGGCCTCCGAAAAATCGGAGCGCCGAGCCAGAGCGAGCCGTGCGGGTCCCCGGGGCCCGAAGCAAGGGAAGATCGAGCATCCTGAGGACGCGACGCCGGGATCCTCAGGGAGATCTGGGCCCCTCCCCCTGCACCTCCATCTTCCATACCTTCCGACCTCTGCGGAAGGCGCGGGAGGTGATGCCTTGAAACTACCGAAAGCCTCAGGAAAAACGCAGGACAAGTCAGCGTTTCACGGAGCGCAAGAGTGTGGAAGGTCAGCACGGAAGGTCTGGAAGAATGAGGGCGAGGGCCCCTGCCAAGGTGCCTGCGCAGCCTGCGCCTCTTCAAGGTCAGCCCCCAGCTCCGGCGGACCAGCGGCCTCCTGGGCGACGCCATGCGCTCTGCGACCTGGGGCATCGCGCTGCTGCTGATCACTGGAGGGCCCTCGGTGCCGTTCCGCCGACCACCGGAGGGGGAGTACCCAGGAGGGCGGCGGTGTCGGCACGAATTCGTGAGCGTTTGGCATGGGGCGCAATTGTTTCCACGAGGCTGCACAGTTGCTGGCTTGTGAGGCGCCGCCGCAAGGTCCGTCGGTGCACGTGACGGGGCTGAGTGATGGCCGTGCTGCTGGAGGATGGCCCGGACGGACTCATTGAACGGGGTCGTGGGTTCGACTGGGATTTTGGACCGTGCGGGAGGAGGGAAGAAGAAACAAAAGCTCTCCGCCGACATGATTACTTGATCGCTTCTCTCATTCCGCCGGCCCTCGAGCGCTCTACGGGGCCTCTTTGAAGCCTCTTTGTGGCCTCTTTGGGGCCTCCCTGGGGCCTCCTTGGGGCCTCTTGGGGGCCTCTTGGGGGTCCCTTGGGGCTCCTTGGCGGCGTCTTGGGGCCCACTTGGGCCTCTTGGGGGGCTCTTGGGGGCCTCTTGGGGCGGGGTAGTGGACCGTGCGGGAGGAGGAGGAGGAGGAGGAGGAGGAGGAGGAGGAGGAGGAGGAGGAGGGAAGAAAAAACAACACCTCTCCGACGACATGATTGTGTCCGTCCTGGCGGCTTCCCTCGAGGTCGGCCTCCCGGGCCCGTGGCCGGGCCCGTCGGCCATCAGAAGCGCGTCCACGACGACACACTGCCCTTATGTCGGGCCTGTCCCCCTGCAGAGGGATTTTCGACGAAAAATAAGAAATACCCCAAAGATAGTCAAAACATTGTCCAAAAATAGCCTGGGGACTATGTTTTTGTATTTTTTGACCTTTTGGATGTATTTTTGTGGTATTTTGCATTTTTCGTCGAAAATCCCCCTGTAGGGGGACACGCCCGACGTAACGCTACCCCACGGGGGAAGCGGTCGGAACCTCTGTGGGGTCGCGCACGGAAAAACTGGCACCGTCGGATGCCTGGGCAGGGCACTTGGCACTGCTACGCCGATCTCTGATGATGATGATGATGATGATGATGATGATGATGATGATGATGATGATGAAGAGGATGAGGATGAGGATGAGGATGAGGATGAGGATGAGGATGAGGATGATGATGATGATGATGATGATGATGATGATGATGATGATGATGATGATGATGATGCTGATGATGATGATGATGATGATGATGATGTGATGATTC